CCCCCTTTGGGGGAGGGCGAGCGCGTGACGCGGCCACGCCCCCTCAGGAGGCCCGCCCCCAGCACGTGACTGGGCGCGCCGGGAGGCCCGGCAGTCTCCTCGCGAATACCCTTTCCGCGCCGGCCTCAAGATGGCCGCCTTCTGGCGTCGGTGGCGCTGTTGAATGGCGAAAGCTTTATTGTTCCCTTCGGGCAGGAGTGTTCGTGTCCTCTATGGCGCTGTCAATAAAGAACGGCAGTTTGAATCGGTGCTGAACAGGTAACCATAGAAACGGGGCTAGGACTCAGCGTGGAGACCCTTTTTGCAGCTGAGGCCCGAGAGGCCAGCCGCATGGGGGGGCGCACACTGACCCTTCGGCCGGGCCAACTCCGCGGGGCTCGCCTAAGTCAAGTCGCTTCGCGTTGCCCCGAGACGTGGCCCACGAGCGACGGCCCACACCCCGAGCGCAAGCTCGGCCGCGGGGACCCGGCAGGGCAGGCTGGGCCCGGCCTGGGCCTGGGGCGTGCGGTCGCCTTGCACCTCCCACTCGGCTGGCCGGAGGCCTCTTCTCGTAGTGTTCCCCAGGTCCCTGCCCTGGGCGTCGTCGGCCTTGGCCCAGATGGCCCTCCTGCCTTTCTCTCACAACCGATTTTTGTTTGCCGGGAGCCAAGAATGGTCTTTACATGTTTAAATGGTTGGGAGTGGGAGAGGAGAATATTTCGTGTAACCCGTGAAAATTACATAAAGTCACCATTCAGTGTCGGTAAATGGCAGTTTTATCGGAGCAGCACAGCCCCGCTGTTTGGGTGTCCTCTTTGGCTGCTGTCCCGCGGCGAGGGCAGGAGTTGAGTAATGGCTTTGATTGCCTGGTCCACACGCTGCAAACAGTTGTCTGACCCTGAACGGGTGCCGGCCCCTCCCCTAGACACCAGTAGATTGGATCAGGGTTGTCCTTTGGCAGTTTCTGTGGTCCCTTCTCACTAATGGGAAATAGGGTGAAAACTGCCTCCTGCTCCTAGAGCTCTTTGGTCGACAAGACAGTCTGGCTTCTGCTAGCCTTCTGATCTTGTTGACGGAGCAAGCAGGAGTCGTTCTTTGAACAGCAGTAATCCCATCCTCCCAGCACCTACAACAAACCAGATAGTTAAGTTATACATGCGTTTGTACGCTTTATGACAACGCCTTGTGAGGATGATTCCGTTTTACAGAAGAAAGCAGCCCAGGTTATGAATGAATAAGCTGTTTAGGGTGTGCCAGGCAGGGCTGGCAAATTAAGCCCAGGTCTCAGGATCTCACCCCACACCGGTGGCCCAGGTCAAACTGCGGAGGACTTTATCCTTTCATTTCTTCTCTGCCTGGGGCTGTTGGTTCATCACTGGGAGTATTCCAAATCTCTGTATGGTTTATGGAGATTTAATTATAAACTCGAAGTGCAGTTTTTCTTTGCTTGGCTGAATCATTAAACTTCTACCCCCCCCCCCCTTTCTAATGTAGACTATTTCTTCTATAGCAGTAGTTCCCAAATCTAGCTTTCCTCAGTTTAACAAATGGTTTCAGAACACCTGTGCTTTCATGCATGAATTCATTAATCATCCAGTGTTTGTTGAGCACCTACTGTGTGTCAGGGATTATTCAAATCCCTAGATATCGTAATGAACAAGACCCACACAATCTGTGACCTTTCATGGAATTTAAATTCTGTAGGCCGCTTGGACAGATGGTATGCAGGTATACAAAGACAATTTCAGATACAGCTGTGGTAGCATCATAATAGAATTAGTAATACTAAGTGACTTCTCTGTCAGGCTCTGCGCTAAGTGCTTATTTTTCTTAACATGGTAGTATTTTTGTTTGTTTGTTTTGCTATTGGGCAAGTGTGCTCACCAGAGAGAAACAGAGACAAAAGGAAAAGTGAGACCCCTCTTCCCCCCCAGGGGATGGCCATGTCATAGTCCCTGCTCCTCCATTCTCCTCTCAAGCTTTTAGGCACACACGCACATGTGGCATTTCAAGCCACTGGGCCTGAGACTGAACTGCAAAGTTGGCCATGTGGGGTCCAGTGCCTAAACCACTACACCATTGGCTGGTCTCGTAGGTAATATTAATATTCCTGTTTTACTGAAACTCCAGAGCAGGGATACCCAAGGTATCCTAAGGTAATATATCTAAGGCAAAAGGGAGCTGGGAGCTGGAACTGGGAGCTGATGCTAACCCGGTCATGCTCACCGCCCTGTTGTTTATTCTTTGCTACTAGCTTAGGAGGTCCTCAAGGGCAAGAACCTTGCCTATTGTACCCATAGGGGCTGGCAGATGCCTCCAACCTGGCGTTTCCAGGTAAATATGAACAGAGCAAACCCAGGTCATTCATCCAGCAAATATTTGAGTGCCTGCTTGGTACCAAGCACCACTGGGCTAGGCCCTAAGATTACCAGGGTGAACAAGACCTGCTGGGGCTCCCTGTTCTGGAAGCTGGTATCAGACAGTAAAGAAATAACACAGTTACTAGTATTTGTGGCAGCTGCTAGAAAAGGCAACAAAGGACGCTGAGGTAGAGACAGAGACCAACCCGAGACCCCCTTTTACCTTGGTGTTCAGGGAAGACCTCCATTGAAAACAGTTCAAGCTGAAACTTGTGGAGTGGCCAAGAGCCCATCCAGTGAGCAGGGGAAGGGGAGACCAGGGAGGAAGAACTTTTCGGCAGGTTCAGAGAGCATAAAGTGGGCAAGAGCCTGGGGTGTTAGAGAATCGGAAGGTGTGCGTGGTGTGCCCCGGCAGCCCTGGCCCCAGACCAGCTTACTCCGAGTAGAGCAGCCTGCCCGTGGGCAGTGACAGCTCGGCCGTCCAGGCTATAAAATGTGGGTAACGGCCTCTCCGTAAATGGTCACAGTGCCAATGAAATAAGAGAAATGTATTAATAGGTTGTTTTATTTTTGTTATTCCACATCTTGCTGACTTCCAGTTAGGGAAAATGAACCAAATTTGGCCCAACTGGAAAGTAATTTAAAGTACTAAATAATAACAAAAATCCAGAAGTGTGTAACAAATTGGGGCAGGGAGTATGTTTCTATCTTTGAGGAAAGAGGAGCAGGTTTAATTTTCTTTTTTTTTTTTCTCTTATTTTAAATAGACTGCTTCACAGATTTGCATGTCGCCCCTGTGGCAGGGGCCATGCCAATCTTCTCTATTGTTCCAATTTTAGTATGTGTGCTGCGGAGCAAGCACGAGCTCTTATTGTATTTGTTCTCAGTGTGTCGTTTTAGAGAGGAACTTTCCCAACTGGGATTTAAGTCTTTAAAACCAAATTAGACAACTGAACATCTATCAGCATTTTCTTTTTTTTTTTGGAGAGATTTTCGCTATAGGGCGCGTGCGCTCGCCAGACAGACAGAGAGAGACATTAGAGACAGAAAGCGAGAAATCACCCCCCAGGGGGGATGGTCACGCCGCAATCCCTTCTCCTCCATTCTCCTCTCGGGGTCTTGGGCATGCATGCACACGTGCCCGGCGTGAGTTTGAAGCCACCGGGTCCAGGACGCGAACCGCGGTCGACTACGTGGGAGTCCAGCGACATAGCCATTACGCTAACTGCTGGTTCCCAGCATTTTTAAGTGTTTTAAACTTGAGACCATTTTGGTCCTCCCTAGAAGGTGCATATTCTTAAGGCATTCTAAGACAATGTTAGGTTTCTTCTGTTTGGTGGTAATTTCAACATTTGTTTGCAAATGAGTTCAGATTTCCTCTAAAAGTTTTCAAAATAATGTTGCATGGTTTCAGACATTGTTGAAGTAGCAGACTTTTTTTGAATAGGTAAAAATAGGGTGATGTTTGAGCTCACGAACATGAAAAATGAAGAGCTGCAGTGTCAAGTCCGCATTAGCTGTATCCTGTAACCATATTGCACATGTCATCAGAAGGTGTGACCCCGTCCAGCGACTGGAGCAAGGACCTGGGCAGAGAATGGCATGTTAATGCAATGTTCAACAACAAGCCCTGAATTAAATTGCTATTTTAGGTTTGGGTGGGACCTTCACATCTGAAGTACTGCAGTTTTACTCTGTGATTTGGGTCTGTTGGGTTTCAGTAAAGAGTAGGTGGTAACACTCACTTTGAAGGATAATATGAAACTGCAAAAAGAGCCAAGGCATACCAATTTGTTCTTCAATCTATTTTATTTCAGTTCAGAGCATCACTGCAGACAGGCAGCCCAGGAAAACAAGCCACACTTCGGCAATACTCACCTGCTTCGGAGATTGGGCAAGACTGAGTGGAACGGAAGTGTGGCTTGTTTCTTGGACTGTCTGTCTGCAGTGATGCTCTGAACTGAAATAAAATAGATTGAAAAACAAATTGGTATGCCCTGTTGCCTCCTACTGAGTATTTACGTTACCCTTCTGGAGTGCTGCTCCGCCAGCACCCTGGGGGAAGGCAGTGACCCCTCAGCCTCTTTCAACTCTTCAACCGCATGAGAGCTTTGATTTCCACAAGGAAATTGAATTGGGATGTATGGTTTTCTGGATCTCCAATAGCCTGCCTTCTAAAGCCATCATCTTGATAATGTGAAGAAAGCAAGCTACTAACCACATAGAGGAAAGAATTAAATATTAAGGGCATTGAAATTCAGAGATGGGATTGTCACTTTCTTTAAGTCACCACAGACGGTATGGAATTTCATTTGCAAAGAGCATGCGGTTTTGAGACTTTGGCAACCTTCAAGGGGGGGGTAAGGAAAGAAAGGCAGTTTTCCTTATATTTTTCCTAATGTCATTATTTAATTTCAGATCCTCAAAATCATGATGCCAAGTGTTTCGTTTTCTTACACGAAGTCAGTGCCTTATAGCTGATCCTCATAAATCAGGGATTGTAATCTTGTAAATGGTCGATCAAGGGACCCACAAGTCCTTTGAAGATACTTGCAGATTCAGGTGAATGTAATATTTCTGGAGAAGAGACCCCATTACTTTAATCAGATCTCAGAGGGTTCTTTGACTCCTCTGAAGGCTTCCAGCCAGCTTTGAAACGTCACATGTAAGTCACCAAACTGAAGTGATGAGAATCCTCCCCAAATCAATTACTTTGTACTCTTTGTAAGTTCGGCCTCAGAGTTTTGAAAGTACCCTTTGAGGCTTTGTTTTCTGTCCACAGTGTTTGCGCACAGTCCATATTTGTACAATATGAACACTTACCCAATGAGTGCTTCCTGGACGTGCTAGGAGGTGGTTGTTGCCGTTGCTTTGTGGGAGACAGGCAAGATGTGGACGTGGGTCTCAGCAGCCTCTCATGCAGAGGCCTCATTTTATTTCTCTTGACGGCTGAAGGGAAGAAGTGGTAGAAGCTTTGTTTTTAGGCATTAACTTCTTAGCTATGAGTCAGTCATCCAGGTTTAGGAAAGTTGGGTTAAAAGGGAAAGAAGAGACTGGATAGATCTGAGAAAGAAGAGTAAAGAAAGATAGGGTGGGGACCGGCAGTTAGCGTAATGGCTATGTCGCTGGACTCCCATGTAGTCGACTGCGGTTCGAGTCCCAGATGCAGTGCCTTAAACTCAGGCCGGGGGCGCGCGCATGTGTGTGTGTGTGTGTGTGTGTGTGTGTGTGTGTGTGTGTATGTCCAAGATCCTGAGAGGAGAATGGAGGAGAAGGGATTGCAGCATGGCCATTTCCCCTGCGGGGTGATTTCTCGCTTTCTGTCTCTCTGTCTCTCTCTGTCTTTCTGGCAAGCGCACGATTGCACCCTGTAGCAAAAACCTCTTCAAAAAAAGAAAAAGAAAAGATAGGGTGTCTTCAGCCAGCAGGCGGCGTGGTGGTTGGGGCTGGACCCCCACATGGCCAACCAGGGTTGAGTCTTGACCTGGTGGTCTGTTTCCTCACTTCCTCTCTCTGTCTCTCGTGAGCACACATGCCCAATAGCAAAGTTAAAAAATAATAAAATAATGGTAATAAAAAAATGAATAAATTGTTCTTTAGAAAAAAGATAGGATGCCTTCTTTGCGTTGGTCTAGGAGAATCCTCTCTGTGTCAGTGACAGTAAAGGCGTTCTTGGAGACCAAACCTGCCTTGGTTAAACTAATTAATACGAGGATCTTTGAAAAAGTCAACTCATCATTGTAATTTCTGATGTTACTTTACCCAAAGAGAAATAAAAGGGAGAAAATATCTGTATTTTGTAAAAATGGGACCACAATAGAAAACTGTAGGAAGCCCGAGTTTGACCCAGACAGTGATTACAAATAAGTTGCTTCCATTTAGACGTTGGAGCTTTTACATCTGTCTGCCCTGGAGGCGTTCGTGTGAGCGACTTCTGTGATAGGCATTAGAGTCTGGTTCGGGGCAAGACCAAACACTAGAGAATGCTTTCTGAAGGAAAAGGGCCCAGGAAGGATGAGGGAGACTAGACACAAAGGGTTGCATGTGTAAATAATAGTTTTTGAGGCTCTTAAGGTTGGTTACGTGAATAATGTTGTTTTTAATATAAAACCAAAAATGAACGGTATGTGATTCTGACTTCAGAAAATATTGCAAGAAATAATCTAGCTCACTAGTTTCGTCTTTTTCTCAGCTTTCTAAGACTGCTGCTTGACCACTGGGTCTTTCTTGATTCCTTTAGCCCCCTGTCCCCGCTGGCTCCAGAAAACGGTGTCGGGGCTTTGGCAGCCATGGTCGCCGTCTTCCATCTGGTCCTTCTCGGTTCCTCGCCTCAGCGGATGGCACCGCAGAGTTGCCAGAGGCAGATGCCTGGGAGTGGTTCCATGTTCTTTCTCTTTCCTGCAAACCCCCAGCCTTCACTCCTCACCCAGAAATGGCTACAGATGGTTGATTTCTATTCCCTTTCTCCTCTTCTGGTGGAAGCTGCTGCAGTGTCTTGCCCTGCGCTAGGCAAACAGCCTTGTAGCTGATCAGCAGCTTCTGCCTTTGTTCCTCTCCAGTCTGTTCACTATACTGTTGCCACGGATCTTCATAAAGTATAAAATCTGAACAGGCCGTTCATTCTCTTGTTTAAAACTCCTAGGTGTTCCTGCCCCCTGGATCATACAGCTCCTTGACTTGGCATGTACTACCTCCTACTCTGGCTGCGCCGGCTTCTCACCTTCTCTCTCTCTAATGGTACAGTCCCATTGGAAACCAGTGGGACCTCTTTCTTTCTTCATTTTAAAAAATATTTGTATATTTCTTCCATGAGTAAGTCATAGGAGACTCCCCACACCCCCAACAGGATTTTGACACTGATCCACTCCCCCATTCAGCTCGTTCTGGATCATGGGCGGGTACTTGCCTGGCACACCCAGGGAAGTATCCAGACACACACGGGATCTGTCATGTGGGTCAGCCTCGCAGAGCGTCATGTGTCAGGGCCATGTGCCATCCAGCCCAAGCCTCATCTCAGTGCCCTCTCCACACTCTTCTCACCTGTCTACTTGAGTCCCAGGCGGAAAGACTCTGGGGCCACAGAGCTCTTTCTGGGACAGTGGGCCATGCTCCAGGGCTTCAAGGCTGTTTCCTCTCCCTGAACTTTCCTGGCATGTTACCAACTAGGCCACTGGCAGCGTCATTACCTATACTAACCATTATGCTGCCAAAGGTTGTTTAAGTTTTCTGTTTGGTTCCTTTTGTCCTTAGGATATATGCTCCTTGACATGTGTAGTCAAATATTACCTTCAAGTCTCTTGATGTTGTTATTTTCTTTGTATGGTTATGTCACCAACTTGATAAATAGATTCATTTGTTTTGAACATTAACAATTACTATTGAGAGACCAGCAGATAGCATAATGGTTACATTGCTGGACTCCCACGTAGTCGACCACGGTTCGAGTCCTGGACTCACACTGGGTGCATGTGCACTTGTATGCCCAAGATCCTGAGAGGAGAATGGAGGAGAAGAGATTGTGGCGTGGCCATCCCCCCTGGGGGGTGATTTCTTGCTTTATGTCTTTCTGACTCTCAGGCAAATGCACATGCCCTATAACAAAAACCTCTCTTTCAAAAAACAATACAAGACAAAACAACAACAACAAACTGCTATTGAGAACCTAATTTTGTTTTTTGTTTGTTATAAAATTTTCGAGTCCAGGACTCGAACCGTGCTGCCATGTGGGATCTGGCTGCTTCTGGGCAGTACCTAACCGTTGTATCGCAGGCTGACCCTTTTTGACTTTTTGTGAGCTGAAGGATATCTGCCAGGTATACGGTATAGGTTGCAAAAATATTTTTCTGGTTTGTCATATGCTTC